AAACCGTCAGTTTATGATTCGATTTTGGTTTCGTCGATTTTTTTCGATTTTTCTGTTTTCGGGTTCGGTTTTGCTCACCCTTAGTTTTTGGTCTTTGTGACCTTCATGTGTTTTATTTTCTATTATGTAATATGTAATTTTTCCTTTTAAAATTATGAAGTTATATTTTAGTCAAGAGTATTGTATCAGAATAGAAAATTGTTATGTAATGAAGGCCACACAAGTTGGGGAACTTGGAGTTTGGAGTCTCGTGTAGACTGAGAAAGTACCAAGAGTCGGTGGTTAATCGAGTAAGAGCTTTAAAGTGTCCATTTTTCTTGCTCCCTAAGGCTTCCAAGAAGCCCAATGAGCCTCCTCCAAAATTGCCCCCCTATGGGAAGGTTCTAGAATTCTTCAATGCTCAACTTTTAAACATTGTCACCTTTAGTCCCTATACTTTTAATTAATCCAATTAATCACAAAATTAATTCCAATTAAGTTCTAATTAATTATTAGTTAAATAATACTATTTCTAATTAATATATTTTTCTTATAATGTATAAATAAATTACTTATTTCTATTTATTAATCATATAATAAACCACTAAATCAACCTCTCTCTCCAAAAACTCATTCTGTCAATTAGTAGGCTTGAGGGCAACCCAAAAGGACTATGATTTTTTCCTCAAGTATATATGAATTTAGTTATTGACTTAAACAACTAATCCAACACTTATATCAGTGAGCTGAGAAAGTATGGTAAGATCAACACTTCAGGCATTTGATATAATGTGTAAAATTTTAAAAGAAGTAAGCAACTAATTACATGCGAATTGGTATTCCATATTGAAGATATAGAAAATGTTGTTATTGAAGCTATTGGAACTTTTGATTACAAAATAGTATATATTTGATTATTAAAAATAGTTGTCTAGTAAATATTATGAATAGGAACATTGTAACACTTGTAAATTTTTGAAGAAAGCTAGATTTACTTATCAGTCGGGAATTTTTATATTCATGTTCTGAAACAATGCATTATATATTAGAAAATTTTTTGATAAAGATATTTATGTAGTAATTCTATCTGTTTTTTTTTTTTTTTTTTTTTTTTTTTTTTTTTTTTTTTTTTTTAAATTAATAGTTCTAAATGTAACATCAAAAGGTATCAAATTATATTTGATGCCAAATTATCTATGGAATTATCGTCCTGACCATATAAACAAGAAACACATATCCTAACTTCAAAATAAGGTATTTTGAAGGCAAACGAGTCTTATTCATTTGATACATATGAGTCATGTTTAAATGGGAAAATGATTTTCAAGCATATTTCTCTAATAGTAGTGAAAGAGCAAAGGACTTGTTAAAGAATCATACATAGTGATGTGTGTGGTCTTTTCAATCCCATGAATGGATATGGTGATAAATAGTTAATACACTTCACCGACAAATTTTAGTAGTTATTGTTGAAACATTTGAAATGTTTAAACCGTTTCATAGTAAAGATGAAATACAACTCAATGAGACTATCAAAAACCCTTCGTTCTGATAAAGGAAATAGTTTTAAGCCAAGGTTTTCTCTGATCATCGTAGGAGTCGTGGAATCAAATTAAAACTCGTTCCACCTAGAACATCTTGTGTTTCAGAGGAGGAATCAGACCTTATAGGACATGGTTTGCTTAATCATGAATATATAACCTTTTTAACTATGTATTTGAATTTATGCTCACTTCAATACACATATTTTTGAATATATTTTTCCAACCAAATTATTAGATTAAATACCTTCATAAGACTAGGAATAAAAGTCTCATTCCTTATATAAAAGGTATAGAGTTGTGAAGCTTATGCATGCCAAAAATTCTTAACTCAACCTAACATCTACTAAAAACATTTATGTAGAATATACTGAAGATTCCTTAGGATAAAGTTTCTAGAATCCCACTAATTGTTATTCCAGAAGACAAGCTCTTAGAAATCTAGTTTCTAGTGGGAGAAATATGGAAATTCAAAAAATTCAAGAACCATAAGTTAAATGCAATCATATTTTGGCACTAGCAATCAACCATATCTTGTTGAAACTGTTAAAATAGTTAACTAGAAATGATAATGTAACACCCGTTATCTAGAATGGATCATAGATGATATTAAGGAGTCGAAGGCATGTCTTTTGTGGAAAACTGTATGTCACGATGTGGCATGAAGGTTGTCATGACGTGTCATCCTAAATGAAGAACGTGTATCTGGTATAGCTGTCAAGACGTGACAAAAGGAAGGTCGCGACATGACAACAACTGCAACTAAAGACCATGATTTTAGGGTTTTCCCTACATTTAAACACCTTAACTTTAAGTTAGGGCATCCTTTTCAGCCACTAACCTTCCCATTTCAAAAACACTAGCCTCTTTGAGTGTTCTTGGGTATTGAAAACTCATTTATCATATTTTGGTGTGGTGTTTGAATGCCAAGCTTCATGTAAAGTGATTTGGTGAAGAGATCAAGTGTAGATCTAGCAAAGGGACTTTATTTTTGGACCTTTATGCGTGAAAGCTTCCACCTTTTAGTTATCTTTCCATAAATCTAGGATTTATTGCATTTCTTGGCTCATTTTCGAGTTGGGTTTGTTGGATGAGATAAAGTTTGCAACAATATAATTCATCTTGGTCCTTGGTCTCTATATCTTATGAATCTGAAGTTTGATTGTGTATTGAGCTCCATGCATGGGATTTTGGTCTTATTTCTCCATTTTTACGTAGTTTGAGTTCTAGACTTGCATTGTGCATGCATGTTTGTAAAGCTATGATGTTTATGTTGGAATGGAAGTGAAAAAGCCTTCTGGAAAGTATGAATGGGTGGCTTGAAGGATTAAGAGCTTAACCCATTAAGTTGTGAGAGTTTAGCTTTCACGATCTGGAAGCCTTCTTTCCACGATGTGACGATTGGTGCTATCGCGACTATTTTGTCATGAATATGCCATGACAGGACGAATGGGTGGTCACGATGCGGGAATATTCTAAGGGTTGACTTTGGCCATTGACCATTGACTTTTTGACAAGTTTGACTTTTGATCAAACCTTGAGGGGTGTTAAGTTGTAGTTTGAGCTTTAACCCCTGTTTGGTTTAGGAGGTTTGTGTAGCTGATGCTGTGGGACTTTGAGTAGTGGGTTTCAACTCATCGTTGAGGTGAGTCTTCTTAATATACTTTTGTATGTGGTAGTATGTACATGTTGACCAACAGGGTCTTGTTTATTGATTGCTATTATATGTATGTTGAGTTGCTGATAACTCTTGGACTGCTGATAGTCCCTGATGTTGTAGATAACCTGTGCAGTGTGCTGTTAATCCATAAGGCATGCTGCTAGCCTATTGGGACTAGTGATAGTCCCCATGGATGCTGATAAGCCATAGTTATTCATATTGTTGTGTTGTATGTGATATTCATAACTATTGTTAGTCACAGGGCTGCTGATAACGCCTAGCTGCTTATTATGTTGTGTTGTACGTGATATTTTGGGGAATTCACTAAGCTTTATTCTTATAGTTGTGGATTAACTATTTTGCAAGTACTTATTGGATTGCGAAGGTGGGACTGTACACACACATCAAAAATTTTATGATTCAATATTCCAAATTGTTTAAATCTCACTTCTAAATAATGGTTTATGAGTAAATGGTTTTCCCTTAATGTAATTTTATTAAAATGGATGTTATAAAAATGAAAAATTTAACCTGAAATTTTAGGATGCCACAAGTTAGTATAAGAACCTTGTTTTGAGGGATTTGGATGAACATTCATGGGATTCCAAACTCAAACTATGGAACTGAGAGTTTTACTAAGCCTTTTTGGAAAATATTCATTTGAAGAGAAAAAACGAAGATGCGATGTGTATAGTCAGCCGGAGCTCAGAAAGTGATTTCCCAAAATATCCATACTTGATTTATATGCTATATTTGAGTTGCTATTATATGTGTTATAGTATGATGTGCATGCTATAAGTTAGGCTAATGATCTACTCAGGGTCGTATGCTAGAGTACCTGCTTAAGGGAAATGCATTTTGTGTGATATATGAGCTGTTAGCGATGCATGATAGTGTGTAGGCTAAGGATCCTCAGGAATTGCATGTTAGAACTACTCGAGCCTTATAATGCCTATTCGCCTATTGGGATTTTTTTTTGCTCGAATACTGTTTGCTTTGTGAAACCTATATCAATGTTACCTGAATATTAGGCGAATGCGTTAAGTTGCTTTGTGCTTTGTGAAACATATTATGTAACTCTTATTTGAGTCCAACCATTGTAGTGCATGTTCTTTCTATCGAATGACTGTTTAATCCTTGCTACATGTAATTTTATTCATAATACAATTAGTGGAATACAACTTAAAATCAAAATATAACCTGATGAGTTTCAATTGCCAACAGAGGAGGTTTACTCCAATCTTTTATTTTATTTTTTTTTTTTATTTTTTTTCCTTTTGTAGTTAAATGACATCTTATGTTGCATTTACTTCGGTAGTGTTTGGTGTATGATGAAATCAATGGAAGGAATGAAATGATTCATTCCATTGGAATGAAAAATAAATTGATTGTTTTCCTTTAATATTGTTATCTTTTGAGCATGTAAATGTACAATTATGGCGTTATTTGTTGTGCACCTATTTGAAGCAATCACATTTAAATTTGTTGAAAATCCTAAAACATATGAAGCATGGGCCACATTGGTTTATAGTTTTTTTTTCCATATTTATTGGTTATCGTTGACCGTATTCATGAAGAGATGAAGGAAGAGCTTGAGGTGAAATTTTTAAAAATGAAAGAGGAACTTTGATTGAGGCGAAAGACTAGAAATTGCTAAGACTTTGATAATTTAGACTTTCATGATTTGATTTTAGTAATTTGAAGTTGAATATGAATCTTTAGTGTTTGTAATGTTTTGCTCATTGAATATATAATAATTGAGATTTATGGATTTTGAAAATAAAACTTCAATTATATATCTAATGTTTGTTACAAAATAGCAACATATTTGACACATATGGACCCAACTAATTATATTATGAAGAACGATTAGCGAGAAAATTTATGACTGAAATACAAATATAACATCCAAATTATGTTGACATCATCAAATTGACAAAGGAATTACATCATAAATTACTTGTTTCCTAACATTTTCACTATAGAAAAACAAGTAGCTAACATAAAAATGTCTCTCGCCAATTTTGTCGTGAACAACTAGCTATGTAGATTTTTCCAACTTTTTATTTATGTGTTAATATGCTTCTATTACCCATTAGTGGCATATTTATGAAGGAAATGCCTGTCTCTATACCCCTCCTTCTAATAGTAAAATACATCAAAATACTTTATGGCATCAAATGCTCTAAAATATATTATGGTATTAAATGTACAAAAATACCATACAATATTGATTTTAATGCTTGAAAAATTCGAACGACTTTCAGGTTGATTTTCTTCCACGAATGAGTGACATGATCTCGAGATCCCACCACTTCCTAAACCCAAATCCTCTAAAAACACAGAGTATCTTTCAAAAGTTATGGATCATACGAAGCAATGTCCATAATAAATACATCAACTAAAAGGACAATGGTCGGAATCTCCATAAGAGTTCAGTCTACAATGAAATCTCATGGATTATATAATTCCAAATATCTATCTTCTTTTGAACATTAGCTTGTCTCTTGGTTACAAAAGCATCTAGTACAAGCCAGTAATAACCCCATCATATATATATTTCCATAAAGAAAACTTGGTATCACTATCTAAAAACAAAAAACATACTTCATTAAAACATGTGGGATAATCGAATATACATAACCTGGTGAAGGTTGTGTGCAAAATCAAATTATGTGAGCATATATTTGGGATAAATAATCGATTATGACTTTAAAAGTCAAAAGGGGTAAAATTGATCTTGGCATATATATTATATAACATGAGGAAAAAAATCGATTAAAGAGCCCTTTGTCCGGCTATGAGTAGAGTTGTTCAGTATTTGGATAAAACCGAATTTTCCAATTGGACAATTTGGTTCGGATTTTCGGATTTTTGGATTAGTTTTCGACAAAACCGAATTATTATTTTGGATTGGTTATGGTTTATAAAATAATAACCGAATAGTTCAAAAAAACCAAATAAAAATTTATTATTTATTTATTTCTAATATATATTTATAATTATTTATTAATTTTGTAATTTATTTTTTGAAACAGGTTCAAAAAGCTTCACCTAATAAAAAATATTAATATGAATTTTCTCTCAAAAGTTTTTTATCTATAAAATATTAAAATATAATATACCTTCTCAATAGTTGTTTATAAATTTCAAATCGTAACTAAATAATTAGTTTTCACTTCTTGTGTAAAATTCGGTAATATTATAATTATGTCATTTTAAAATGTTTTAGTTTTTAAAAACCAAATTATAAAAACCGATCCATCTGAATTGTAATTTGATTGGATCAGGTCGGATTTGAATTTAGTTTGGACTATTCGAATCTATTTTTTGAAAACCGAAATCAATTTGGATTCACTTAATCGGATTGGATTAAACCGATCCATCCAAACGAACACCCCTAGCTATGAGAGAAATTTATTTGGGCAAAAGGTTTTGGAAAATACCATTTTTATAAAAAAAAATGATAAAAAGAAGCAAATAGAGCCACGGGCTCTCGGATTACATAGACAGTTATGGACGAAAATTGTTTTCAACAATTGAAAATAATTGACTGAATCGAGGGTAGTCACGGGCTCTACGGATTACATAGACAGATAAAGTTTGAGTAGAGTTATTGATTTACCATTCAGGACATGGATTGCCTTCTTTTTAATCTAAGCATAGAACTGATTCTTTTTTCCTTTTCTTTTCCCTCTCTATCTTTCACTTTTTCATCTCTATTTTCATTTGTATCGAATCTCCCTTGAAACAATGGAGATCTTTTGATCTTATGCCATCCTAAAATCCAACCCGACAAAGCATTCTGCTTATTTCTCATCTTTTCACAATCTTGTTGTAAATTTGTGTAGTCCGTTTGAAGTTCTTTAATGAAATCCATCATCTTTTCCTGCTCTAATTTGAGCATTTTAATCTCTTCTTTTGGAGATGCACAGTTATCTTCCTGCTGTGAAGAATCAACGTTTCCTGCTAACTGCTTCTTGTGCATTTCTTCCCTCAGCTTTAATTGCTCCGCAAGCAATACCTGATTTGGTTTTTCTTTTAGAGTTTACATACAGATAATTTAAACATTGCAATCGAATTCTACAACACATAAATAGTTACCTGCATAACTGTTCTTACAGGCAGTCGATCATTTCGTGCAGCATGTGTGCATGCATCGATTGAAAGCTTTTGACATTCCATCGCCCTGCATAATCTTCTTCTGTCATGCTCAGAGAGCGAAGGATGTGCCTGGTTACAAAATAAATAACACTGCATGAAGCAAGTTCCATTTTGAGAAAAAGGAGAAAAGCGAACCAATAATTAACATATGGTATATACCTTCAGATATATATCAATTGCTCGATAGAGTCCATCGTCACAAAGTCGAGCATTATCTGGTAATGATTCAGCAATCACCTGAAACTTGGTCGCAGAAAGGTTTGGGTCTCCTGCTATTTCCGCAAGGTAATTATCCAACAGTTTACTAATACTTGCTTTGTGATGACTTTGTGTTTGCTGCTGTTGTCCATGCATCAAGTAATATTCCAAAATCCTTTGCACAGCATCGACGTTGTATAAAGTCTGCTCTGCCGTCAATCTGTACAAAAAATTGATCAAAGAAAGTAATATATAATAAATTAAGGAACGAAAGAAAAGATGGTTTGAAAGCTCACATTACTTGCTTTCCTTGTTCTCCTGTCGTATATCCAGGTATCAGAAGATCGTACACACTAGCATTTTCCAGAACCATTCCGATTCTTTTCTCAAGCTCGGAAACAAAAGCTGGTGACACTGAATAAACCATAGCCATTTTCAACATCCACAACAAAAACTTGCAAGAAATTGCGTCTTTCTGATGTGGTAATATGCTCACCAGGCTCTCTATGATCCTTCGTTGCTCTGGATACTGTCCCAATTCCAATTCAGGGCTCCGACCCGGCAGAATACTCCATTGCAGCTCATTTTTTCCGTTGGTATATCTTTTCGATGGTGCAATGTCTCCATGATCAGTTCCTATCAACCATTTTTCCGCATATATCATGATGCATGAACCTAGGAGATCGGGTCTAAGTCCTTTTAGCGTCATTGATGTTACAATCTTCAAAAAAATATCAATACGGAGAGTGGCAACATCATTTAACCACCGGCTTTGTTCACTGGCAGTTTCTATTGTCGTAAAGTTTCCTTCAGCAGCCCAAGCGATTGAATCACAACATCTTCGTACAATCTGGAGATTTTCAGCCCATGGAGAGAGATTTTCACACGACTTTAGGACAGTAATTGAGTCCTTCCATGAAGAAAACACTACCAAAGTGAGGAAAGATTCGGTTTTAGAGATAAGGTTTCCGTCTTCTAATTCCTCAGTCATGTCTAGGAATTCCGCTGCACATCTTAATGGAGCTGCGTTTCTGGGGTTTAAAGATACTGGAAGGCCGTAGCAAAATTTCATGACGGTTTCAAACGTTTCTGCTCCACCTGGAAAGTTTTGTAACTTCAGCTCGTAATCCTTGTTTGATATTGAAGGTTGTAGATCAATCTGTCCTACATAAGCGCATCTTGAAAGCAGCGGATACTGAATATACGTCACAGAGTGTAGTAATTATTATCTCGATCGAGTTGAGAATTAAATGTGACTCGGTCTCAAAACGGTCCAAAATATATAAATGTAGCATTTGGAAGTTTAACGGTAACCATTTTACTTGTTTTCCTACTAAAATAAGGTATTGAAGTCGGCTTTTCATTGAGCCTTGCGTTGAATCATTTAAAATTCCCTATGACGCTCGTTGTACATGAAAGCATCTACTTTTAAATCATTAGAGTTTCTTTCGTTAATTGGATGTTTATTATACGTTGATTTGGCTGGAAAGTGTGAAAGTCACCTAACATTGCGATTAAATTTTTGGAATTTCCTATGTAAAGTTAGAGCATCACAATTGAATTTCATAAAGTTTATTGAATTTTATAGAGTTCAATGGATTGCCACATCATCTTTTTACAATCCATACAACTATATAATTTTTTTCCTACAACATATTGAATTCTACAAAATTCAATAGGATGTTACAAAATAAAATTTATTGTAAATATTTAAGAATTAAAAACTTTCATTTTTCCATTGAAAAGTTCAATAGCCATGGATGTCAATATGATAGAGTTTTATCTTAGATTTGCCACTTCATTCAAATCTCCCATTGAACTCACTATTATATATGGATGCTCTTACGACCAACTGTGTGATGTACATAACGGCATTTAGTTTTGAGCCTTTTGCGTTTCATTAGGTAAATGTCAATTAGTTAATTGATTAGATCGAAGCTATTAAAGACTAGTCTTCTTTGTTTTACTGTCTGGAGAGGTTGGTTTATATATATTTAGTAAGAATATTGCTTTAAAATTCGGGCATCTCTTCCTCCAACCAAAGTCAGTGTGTGGCCTACAAATACTGTACGTGTCCAACACTCAAAGATGATAAAACAACGAGTTTTAAGAATGTATTAATTTCACATCCACGGAAAGTAAAAACATTGTGCAGGATAAAGATTGTGTCCTATATATGGAAATGAGTTAGATCTTGTTCTATATTATACTTGCATGTGTTTATTTTTGCTTACCTTGTGAACGTAAAATGTGATGTCATCAACTTTTACGGTTAAATCTGATGGAAGTTGAGATACGGCAAACCTGCGCACGCAAGAAGAAAAGTCATGTAAAAGAAAAGAATTGAAAAGAATATATTATGATGAGTTTGTTACCATGAATGGCCTTTTTTCTCGAAGCTTTCTGCTATAGAAGTTAGCGTTAAAGGAACCACCAAGTTATGGTGTTGCATTGGGGCAGCGTCATCGATCTCAGGGCAATGTGGATGAGCCATTAAAACAGAACTGTGCATGGGGATTGTATCTTTGTATGCTTGGGTTTTATAGGACTTGTATTGATCCAGGGTTTTGTAAGACTTGAAAATTTCATTTTTTTTTTGATTTAATATCATGTGTACGCTATGTGGGACTTATAATTATTAATGTTGGAGAAGAAGTTTGTGGTGTTGAAGGAGTTGGTTGGACGGTCTTAATTATGAGAATGCAACAAGTGAATGCCACAAACAGAATGTCTGGGCATTAGGCCACCACAAGTCACATGCTAACAACGTGTATCCATAACACACCACTATCACTTTGTGGCTTTCATACTCTTTTAATAAGCAAGACCCAAGGCAGTGGTGCCGAGGGGTGCCAAAAGCCACCTCAACCGTCACCTTCTCGAAGCCTTTGTCCAGGAGAGAAAACCAGCAAGAAATTGTCAAGGACATAGGAAAACCTTAGCATGCCCAACACCGGGATTAGTGTTTGCCGATGCCACATCATCTCCACCTCTGCTTTTGCCGAGAGGTGCAGGAGAACATACCCTCCGGCCTAAGAGATCATTTGTATCTTTTGAATTTTACAAAACATTCAGAATTTGATGGATTCAGATTTTGAATTATTTGGATGGTAAAAATTGGGATCAATCGTATGAAATCACATCTTTATAGAACCGTGTTTAGATTATAGAGGATTTGAAACATATTTATGTTAGAACACAAAATTTCAATTTTGTTTTATAAAACTTCCACTTATGCGTCACAACAAATCAAAATGAAATAAAAAGTTTCATTAAATAAAAGTTTCTTTATTAAGATCATCTCCAAGTCATTAAACTTCTAAAAGTCCCTCTCCAAGTCCCTCTCCACTTATGTGTTGATGACCACGACGTAGCATGACATTTAAACGAAAAGCATGCCCGGATGGACAACATGACATGGCTAGAAGGAGGCCACGACGAGGTGGCTGTTGCAGCCTAAATCTAAGATTTTAGGGCTTCTCTCATATTTAAAGGCATTAACTCCTGATTTAGGGCATCATCTCTAACCTCCATTCTCCCTCGTCAAAACCCTAGCTCCCCTTCCATGGTTGTGAGCTTGGTAGCTTAGTTTTGAGCTTATCTCCTTGAACTTGTGAAGTTTGTAGAGGAATAAATTCCATCTTGGGGCAAGGAAGTAAAGAACAAGTGTAGATCCAACATCTTCTTCAAGTTTCTAAGTAATTTGAGCTATAAAGTTTTCACCTTGACCTTGTTCTTTTGAGATCCATGTTTATGCTTCTTTTTGGTTGGTTTTGGTCTCATTCATGGATGATCTTAGAGTTTGAGGAACTCCAAAGCTTATTATGACACTCATGTGGTCATAGGCTCCTGTTAAGTGTTATTAAAGGTCCTAGTTTGGGTGTTTTTGAACCCATGCACAAGATTTAGCCTTAAAAGAACTTATTTTGACCTAAGGATTAAGATTTTTCACTAAGAAAGAGTGTTCTCACAAAGAGAACGAGTGCACTAAGAAAAATATTAAAAATCCCTTAGAAATATACCTAATGAATTCTATATAAATCATCGACAATCTTACCAAGAGGATGTCTCGTATATATATACTAATCTACCCTAACCGACTACCTCAAAGGCATGAGTATTTTTTTTTTGAGAGAATATCTTCAAATCTCCATTTGAATCAATTAAGTCAATTCCTAAGTTACATGAATTGATAACTTCCTTGAATAACTAGATCTTTAAATAAGGACGTCCATAATAAACTTCTTTATGCTTCTTGGACGCTGGCTCACCAAGAGTTGTATAATCATTATGGTCACTGGTCTGAACGATGATATGCTGATGTCCGGATGTTGATAACATCAGAAGCTGATGTTGCCGCTGTATCATGTTGATGCCGATGAAGTCTTTAGTCTTCAGCTCCATATCTAATTAGCTCTGATGCCTTAGATCTGGTCTTTAGTCTTCAGTCTTCATTTCTTGAGTAACATAATTCTTCATTAGATATCTTTAGAGTATTTAGTAACTTCACACTATCTAAACTAACAACCTCATAGAGATCAGTGTGTCTAAGTGATATTATGTACATTTGACATTCTTGGAGAGATTTCTCATACTTGGAGAGATTTGGGAGAGATTTGACATTCTTGGAGAGATTTCTCATACATAGAGATATTTGCGAGAGTTTTCACATACTTGGAGAGATTTGGGAGAGATTTGACATTCTTGGAGAGATTTCTCAGACAGAGAGATATTTGAGAGAGATTTCACATACTTGAAGAGATTTGGGAGAGATTTGACATAGAGAGAGATAGAGTGAAAACGATTGAGAGAGGTTCCATGTGTGACCATTGTGAGTGTCCAGCATCACATTGCATGGTTTGTAAACCCTTTTAAGCCTTGTTTAAGGATCTTACACACTCCCGATGAGTATGCATCATTGTTTTATCGGTTTGGCTCGCCACGTACCACAATTTTAGGTTAAGGAGATCTAGATGTTCGCACTTTTTGCTTTATGATTTCTCATTAGAATAGGGAGTTATGTAGAAGTTTCATAGTGTAAATTTTAGTACCCAAGGGAAAATTGAGTCAAACGGTTTGACTTGCTGACTTTAGTTGACTTTGAGTTGACCAAAATTTGACGGTTGTCACATCATGCATGGGTTAAGAACCTTAGAAAGGTCTTAGTGGGGGTGTTAGGAGCATATGAAGCATGTAAAGGCATAAAGTTGCCAACTTTATTCCCTAGGTCGTCTTAATAAGCTTAGATCTGACTTTTAGATGTAAAAGAATCGGGTATTAAGCACTTAATGGAAAAAGTGCTTAATATGTTAGTACGCGAGGCATAACCTTAGTGTACGTTGCGTGTAAGTCCCGAAACCTCAGTACGCTGCGTGTACCAGGGTGGTACCCTAAGCGTACACATCACAGATGGGCTTGGATCTGTTTTGGGCCTTTGATATGTTGGGCCTCATTTGGTTATTGGACTTAGTTTCATTCTGAGAATAGTGGTCCATTTTATCTGTGTTGGGCCATTGGATTTATGGTACGGTCTTATTGGGCCAAGTGGCCTATTATTGATTTTGGACATGGATTCTGGCCCATTAACAAAGAAAGGAATCATGGAAGGACTTGGGGTTTGAGTTCCCCTTTGATTATGTGATGTACAAACATGGGTTAATTTTATTATTCAGCACGGGAGGTTTCAGATTCTTCGGACGGAGGTGAGTCTTCTTACCATACCCATGGGTCTAAGGCACCAAGGCCGGCCTATTATGTGATTATGGTTTATTTGTTAGTCATTTCTATGATTTGATATGCTATGTGATTGTGTGTTATTGCATGGAAGACCCCGGGGGGAGCCCGTGACATTGGATGTAAGACCATGTGGGGTAGCCCATGGCATTCCTAGGTAAAGACAATGTGGGGTAGCCCATATCATTAGATGTAAGACCATGTGGGGTAGCCTATGGCATTCCTAGGTAAATACCATGTGGGGTAGCCCATGGCATCCTTACAGGTTTATGTATGCATGGCTTATGTGTTATACGTAAATTTTATAGCTAGCATGATATGTGATATGTGTATTGTGTGTGGTATGCTCTGGGAAACTCACTAAGAATCTAGCTTACAGGTTGTGGATTTATTTCAAGTACTTCAGATCCCAAGGGCAAAGGCAAGGCGTGATGGCGCGACTTGCACTCTCTCCCAGGCGTTTTTATGGATGCTCTGATGTTTGGAATAAAAGTTGTATTTGACATATGTTTTGAAAACAATTATGATTGGATTTCTTAAATCATGAGAATTTATTTGACTATTTAAAAATGAAACTTTTCTTTGAAAAATTAGGTTGTTACAAGTTTGTATCAGAGCTTTGGTTTGGGGGATTCGGGCACACCCTCAGGTGTATCAGGACTCAAACTAAGGAAATGGTAAAATTATTCTAAAAAATAACATAAAAAAAGGTTTTTTTTTAAAAGAAATGAACATATGGGGTGCAACGCGCGTGATCATCTGAGCCAAGTAAGTAGTTCCCCAATATGTTAGCCATGTTATGCTGATACTTGAGCTTTGTTGATTATATGGAACTTGTTATGTATATACTTTTAAATTTGTATGCGGTTAGGAGCTTATAACCTCAGAATTATTGATTTGGCCTTATTTCTTGTTCCTTGTCTGGTTGTCGTCCTAGGGTAGATCATCCCTCCTTGTGGAAGAACTATCATTATAGATCATCCCCTCCTAGTTAATTTCGATTCCTATTCTTTTGAGTTCAATGGGCGTGAACCAAGATAGGGATTCGGGTTAGGGTCCTTATCATCTAAACAAGGTCGCACGCACGAAGAGTCAAGTGCGAAGATCTTTGGCTGCAAAAGAGGTATGTGATTCTTCCTTTGTATATACGGTAATCTAGGGTAGATGTAATAGTATGAAACCATAGATCCATAGGTTGCAGATACACTTAGGTATATCATAGTTTCAATTTTTTTTCGCCGCCTAGTTTACAGAGTATTTGATGCACGAAAAACCTAACAGTGGTATCAGAGCTATTGGTTCATGATTACATTCACCCCAGGTCAATATTTTCTATAAATGCTTGTTTGAAATTAAATGAAAGAAGAATGATTAAAAAATTAGTAATTGTTAAAACCTGTAATCGCAGCGCACGGCGTGAGAGCTTGCTGCTCACGACGTGAGCTTGCCAAATTAAGGTTTCCCTAATTTTTCATTTTTCAAACTTAAAGATTTATTTAATATGGATTAATACCAAATTTAAAATCTTTTAAATTTGGAAAATTGATAAATATTATTTAAATATGATTATTTGAATTTGAATATTTATTTGTCATTTAAATAGTGAATTTAAATATTTAATATTGTTTATAATAGAGATTTACGAATTTGAATATTAACCCCTCAAGTTTTATTACTTATTACATTGCATCCTCATAATTAACTACAATTAATATTAGACAACTAAATTTGAAGATTTTTAAATTCACCCCTTATATATATACTAGAATTGTATAAACTATATGTATCGGAAAGTTACAAATTGCATCCTCGTATGTTTTAAATATTGATATTATCAGTCTTACCAAGACTAGGTTCACCCATTATAATGTAG